CTCGTCGATAAGTTTAACGCCTATTCCTTTATTTCCTATTTTTTTTTCTCTCTCTCTTTCCTCTTCGACGTGTAACTTTTTTCGAATCTTCAAAGTTTTATTAGAGACGTTTAATCGGCAAACGCGTGGTAGAAGGTAGAGCCGAGAAATAAACGTTGCGAAGAAGTCTCGTTATTTGGCGTAAAATTGGCAAGGTATTGCCAGTAACCGGATACGATGGCACATCACGCGAAATTCTGTTTTCCTAGTCGGACAATTTCTACCGTTTGCAAAAAACTCGCAATTTCATGGTTTTTTTCCACGTGAGTTTCTTCGCCACCAAGATAAATGGATTTTCGATTCAACCGATAAGAGAGAGAGAGAGAGAGAGCGCCACTACATTTTCCGAATGAGATAACGAGAACGTATAAATGTTGTGTACAACTTGTGCATAGGATAAATATCAATAGCACAGGTCATCTTTTTATATACTCGAGTTGAAGAAACGCGAGTTGCAGAGAGAAAAGAATCAAAATGTTTCGACACGAAGCCACGGAAAATATAGGAGATTTTATGCTTTCATCATTCTCGATATGACTTCGAGTGTAAGTGCAAGCACTTGTAAGACGAATCTTATGTAGTTCGTATTGTTGAAAAGCTACGGTTAAGAACTCTCCAAGGGACTTGATTCGTGGAAAATGACAATGTGAGGAACGCGAGGTAGTGTCGTTGTTATATGTAAGAAAGAAAAACAGTACCTATGTACCGAATAAAATAGTTTATTACCGATTTGACCTTACGCTTCTCTCTCTGTTTCTCCTTCTCTACGATCTATCTCGAATGGTCAATTAACGACTCTCTAGTTTTAAGTCGATCGAACTAGTCCCTTTAATAACTTTACGTTTATGTTTTGTCATAAATAACTTGAAACTTTACACAAATGATTCGTTGCAATGTTTTCCTCGATAACGATAAAACTATTGAGATTTGATTTAAAAGAAATTAATATTATCTGATAAAAGAAAAAACCGCGCTAATTACGGACTATTTTTACTAATCGAAATTATAAACGTTCAAACGAAATCGTTGTTCAAAGAATTAAATGTTATTTTTACTAGAATAACAATAATTTTATCGTAATATTATCGTATGAAAAAAATTAATATATCAAGATAAGATAAAGTAAAAAGAGATCGAGTTTGTAAATGGTAACAAAGTTCAACGAATTCATTCGATATGCAACTATCATAAAAAAATTTAATCGTATATTAAAAAAGAATAGAATGTTAATTATGAATTCACCTGTAGCTATTTACCAATAATCTTGCACACATTGCCGAAATTAATATCAAACTTCAATTTGAAATTTCATCTCTATTTATTTTTTTTTTTAAATTTTTTTAAAATCAAATTCAATCATCAAGGAATAAAACGATTTTGGCAATAAATTATGTATTTTCATTGTTATGAAAAAATTAATATCGAATGTATCGGTGTGAAACAAAAAATAGAAATAAATATATACGATACATATGACTAAATCGACGACACGACACAATTAATTTCGAAATTAATAATCCTATCTTATATGTAAATATTTATAAATCATACTATGATATGTATTTTAAAAATGATCATTTATTTTCTATATTGCTGACTCTAATATTATATATTCGCTTTTTTATAAGATTTTTTTGGTAATCGAGATTAATTTTTAAACGTGAAACCTCAAACATGAAGAGACAATAATATTGAGTATAGTCAAAAACTTACAATCACAAAGAAATATTCATTTGTTCATATTCATTCCTTCATATTATTGTTGAAGGAGAAAAAATAAAAAAATCCAGTAGTTGGTAATAGTGGCAAAAATCTCGCACTCGCGCGTGGTAGCATCGTAACGACACGCTGCTACGAAATACCAAGTACACTCGACCGCCTTTGAAACCGGTATAAAAAGGGCGAGCGACAGGCTACTGGAACACGCTATTAAATAGGCCGAGCTACTAGAAGAGAAATGATTAATCACTGCGAAAATGTCTTTTCACCTTAAAAATTACTCGCATGACAAATGCGATCAATTGATATTGTCCTATATTGTTATTTCCCTTTCGATCTAATCCTTGCTTGTAATATCCAGAAAGGGAAAGTTTTTGAATTTTTTTTTCTATTAATTTTAACTTACTATATATTACTTTAACTTATATTTTCTTATATTTCTATATATCTTTATATTTCTATTTTTTTTATTTCAATATTTAGTATTTATAATATTTATTTAAAAAATAATTAGAAAATAAAATATATATAAAGCAAATATGTAATATAATATACAATATAATATAATATAATATAATATATATATATATATATACAAAGTAAAATTTGTATATATAAGTGCTAATTCTAAAAAAATTAAAATTAATTCATATTACATTATTAGAATTATTAGAATTATAAAAAATGAAATCATTTCTAATCTAAATATATGTTATAAAGTCATTATATCCAGTTAGATTGGACATTTTGTTTTCCTGTCATTTCAAAATAAGGTTATGTTCTTGTTTCTATTGTTTTATCACTTTGAATAACAATATTTGATGTAATTTATTACGTAATGTTAATGCTAATCATCAACGATAAAAGCAATAAAACTTTAAAGTAAAATATTATCTTTATGATTATTATATTAAAATATGTTCTATAATGACGCATCAATAAAAATATCTTAAATTTTATTTCACTTGGAATACTTGGATTATTTGGAATTATTTTTTGTTATATAAGTTCTAATGGAAGATTAGCATGTATCGATGCAATGATAAATGATTAAAAAATTGTAATTATATTACTTTATTAAAATATTGACTTAGAGGAAGCTTGTCGATAAGTTGTTTCAAAAAGAACATATTATTATTAAGTAAATCTTTTACACAAGAACTTACAAACAATTTTTTTGTATGAAATACAATTTCAAATCATAATTCTTCATATATTAATCATATTAACTATCTTTTCTAATTGGAGTAACCTTGAATTAAAAGTAAACTTTCATTCTGTGTTATCAAAGATAAATATCAAAATAAAAACAAGGAATATGGAGAAATATATTAAATGAACTTACCCTGCGAGTAATACAGAATTTAGGAAGGGTGGTACAGTTGGCAAACTGGACAGACACCGTGGTGGAGAACCGGTAAGTTGTTTCGATGCGATACATGAACATCGGGTGGCATAGAACTCACGTAGTGATTGTCGTTTGTATTGCTCGTACACACAAATACCACCGTCCATACACTATGTACACACACCGTCATTCGGCGAAAATCTGGCGATTACCTTACACTTATATCCAAGTAATCGAGGATCACGATACGTACGGCACGGTACGATACAGCAAGGCAAGGCACGACACGACACGACACGATACAACACGATACGGCACGATAGGACACGACACTATACGACACGACACGGTACGGTAAGATAGAACTCACCGCAACAGGGTATGCACTAAAAAAGTAGCGAAAATCGTAAAACTAGAGACATCACCTCGAGGAGATAAGATTCTTCAAATATGTGTGACGGCGGGGGCTACGGATTAATATGGCCGTCCCTCGTTGACACAAAGTTTGGAGTCACACGTAAAATGCAACCTCAAGGAAATGCTAAAAACAAGTTGATTGGGATATCGTTGGAAAGAGAAAGACTTGTTCGCGTACGACCTGCACGCATTTGTTTTACTCGCGACACCATAAACCACCCGCGATTCTACGTATCACTCACTTCCGTATCACCCTGTTGTATTCTCCACGCGCTTTCCAACTTTTCTTCTTTCCTTCCTTCTTACTTCCGCTCTTCGACAGACTATTCGTCCACTTCTCTCCCTGTCACATAAAAATCCCTTTAAACTTTTGTTGGGCACGTTTCTTGCCCGTTCTCCCTCTCTTCTTTCTTCTCTCTTCTGTTCGTCGTTTTCGTCAAATACTGCGAGAGGGATTCTGTGAATACCGCACTCACGTTTCGAATTATCAACAACTTTTTCACTGTATCGCGTTCTCGTATAAAAACACCACGAGACTCGTGGAAGCATTCGAATAATCACGTTCTTTTCACGCTTTTCGAGGACGTGACGCGACCTTGCTGTGAACGACGTCAACATCACCACCGTACGCTTTCATGGCGGCCATCTTTTCGGGATACGCGAATCGCGGAACGGAAAACGCATACGCGTGTATATCTCCAATACATGCATTCACGCGCGACCGCTTATGTATGTATACACAATGGTCCTCTACTACGAATACCGAACAACGAGAATCAAGAGCGAGGGAGACACTTGTGCGCACGCATACATATACAACCTAATCGTGCTAGCCTGGATATTTGGATAGCGAACGGCAATCCAGACACCGAACTGAAGAACAGGGAATGGTTGACGTTTCTTGTTTAACAGGGAATTGTGGCGCTGCTGTCTCTTCTCGTTCGTTATCTTTCTCTTTATTCGTCTCTTCCTGTAGTCTTTACAAAATTTCTCGACCAATCACAATTTCATTCTTACTGTTTTCATGATCTAGGGATTTTTTCAATTCCTAATCTTTACTTTTCTCATTCCTAGGAATTATAATTTCTTTTTAATTAAATTTTACGCGCATTTTTTAAGTCGGTTTATCTATCTTTTATTATTCGCCGAATATTTCACCTTTTAGACATGTACTTAGTTACATGTTCAATACTCAATAATACATATAACATATTTACACTCTCATAAAGTATTTATTTATATTTAATATAATATTTAACATGGAAAATTTTGCACCCTTGAGGTAGGTATCGATAAAGTTAATAAAAAATTCCTTTTACAAATACTCCTATTTACTTGTATGTAGAATAATTATACTTTCGAAATAGTAACATTTCTTAATCTATAAACAGTATATGTATATCAAAGTTTCATATAAAATTACATTTTTGTATAATAAAATTTCATATAATTTTGAAATGTAAAAACATTNTATATATAAAGACAAACTTTTTCATACGTTTTTCTTTGTACATTAACACGAACAAATATTTCGATGTTTTATATGCACATTAAAAACAATATGGAATGGTTTTTTTTCATATTTTTAAAAATACTTAAATTTTCTGTACATTTTGACATGGCAGTAGACTTTTATATTAAAACGATATCGGTACCTTTGTATAATCTTTAAAATTATAACTTTAATATTTCTTGAACTGCAGCAACAATTTTGTTTGAACTAATTCCATATTTATCCAATAATGCAGTTGGAGGACCAGAACGTGGTACTTCAGGAATAGCTAGCTTCTTAACTACGACATTTCTTTCCAAAGCAACTGCTGAAAGTACAGCTTCACCCAGACCACCTTCTGCATAATGATCTTCAACTGTAATAACTCTTCCTCCAACTTCTTTGGCATTTTTTATAATTAGTTGGGCATCGAGTGGTTTAATTGTAAACGGATCGATCACTCGAATATTTATTCCTACTTTAGATAATTCATCAGCAGCTTTAAGTGCTTCGTACAAAGTTACGCCAGCTCCAACTACAAGAACTTGATCTTTCGCAGAAGATCTAACCACTTTGCCTTTTCCAATAACAAAAGGTTCTTCGTTTTTATATATAACTGCTGTGGCAGGACGAGAAGTGCGTACGAAGCAAATTCCTTTTGTATTAGCTGCTAATTCGATGGCGCGCTCCGTGGCAACAGCATCGGCTGGATAAAAAACAGTAGAACCAGGAATTGTACGGAACATAGCTATGTCTTCCAGACCCATTTGTGATGGACCATCTTCTCCGATCGAAACACCGCAATGGGAACCAACAAAATTAACATTTGTTTGTGAAATAGCACCCATACGAATCTATAATAATAAATTTACATTTTACGAATTTAGATTTTAAATGAAAATTCATAATAATATTTTGATTCTATATATATATATAATTTTTTTTATATATTTATTTTATTATATTTATTTATTAACACATTTTTACCTGATCAAAAGCACGAGTGAAAAATGTTGCAAACGCAGATACAAATGCAACAGTTCTGTCTCTGCATGCAGCACCGATTGCTACTCCTACTACATTTTGCTCGGCAATAAAACCTTCGATAAATCTAGATGGATCGACTGTCTTAATTTTTTCAGCATATGTTGAATTTTTTGTATCCCCATCTAGAGCAATGACACGAGAATTGTTTTTCGCTAGCTGAAGCAAAAAATACAATAGAAACATATGCTTATCTTCAAATACACATATTCTAAAAAGAAAATATACAAACCTTAACTAAAGCAGTACCATAAGCCAATCTTGTAGCAACTTGTTCTCCTAATTTATAATTCGGAGGTGATGCTAATTTAATATTATTAACATCTACTACTGAAACATCATCAACTAATGGTTTCTGAGGATGTAATCCTAAAGGACCAGGATTTTTCAACATTCCAGTTAAATGCTACAATTGAAAAAATATTAAATCTTATTAAATCTTAAAGACATAAAATTATTTGTACAATAAAAATTGTAATTTTAAAAATTGTATCACTTACTTGAATAACTTCATTTGCTTTATTACCAAGAGGTTTTCCATGCCAATTTTCTTGGTCTTCAATAGTAGGAAAATATTTGCCTTTGTATGTTTTTGCTAGTATAGCAGTAGGTCGTCCTTTCGTATTTTGTGCTTCATGGAAAGCCTTATAAATAAAATGTTATGTCAAATTTGAAAAATAAAAATATGTTGAAATTTGTAAAATTTCATATTAATTTTTACCTACATATAAATATGCAAATATACCTTGGCTAATTCTTCTACATCGTGACCGTCAACAACCAATGCATTAAATCCAAAAGCTTCAAGTCTTTTGCGATAAACTTCCATATTATGTTGAAGAGATGTTGGTTCACTTTGGCCTAAACGATTTATATCAAAAATAGCACAGAGATTATCCAACTTGTAATATGATGCAAAATGAAGTGCTTCCCATATTGATCCTTCTGCAGCTTCTCCATCACCAATCAGACAATATACGCTATATATGTAATAATATAAACTTATTATTATATTTTGAGGAAATACAAAAATATAATATTGCTTGTGAAGAAAGAATTTTAAATAAATAATAAAGAATAATTATTTGAAAATATACCGATAATTGGCTTTGTCAAAATTTTTTCCCACATAAGCCATCCCTGCAGAAACTGAGAGTCCTTGTCCCAAGGAACCAGTTCCTACATCAATAAAATTAAGTCTTGGCGTAGGATGTCCTTCTAAATCACTATCAAGTTTTCTTAAATTTAGCAATTCACTTATTGGAAAAAGTCCTGCTTCTGCCCATGCTACAATTATATAAATAATATATTATAATTTAGATATTTTATATTTCGTATATTCGAATATTCGATAAGTAGATATTCAAAATTTTTACCTGCATACAGAATAGGAGCAGCATGACCTTTGCTCAATACAAATCTGTCGCTACTTAGATCACGTGGTGCGGATACTTTGTAACGCATCGTATGAAAAAATAAGACGGACATAATTTCTGCCATAGAAGAACATGACGTTGGATGTCTAAATAAAAGTGAAAAAAAATAAATAAATAAATAAAAAATTGTATAAAATTTGAAATATCAAATATACATAAGATTGTAAAATATACCATGTATTATTTATATATTTCATAATAACAATGAACTTATTATCAAAGGTCATAAAGGTCATTAATCTCGATCATACGATCGTTGAATATTGAAATGATTATTACAAAATATAGTTATATAATATAGTCTGTATTTAATATAAATAATTATCATTAAGTACTTATATTACAAGAATTCTTGTTTTTTTTTGTATTTTTTATTAGTAAAATTTATATTATTGAATTTCATTAATAGTTCATATATATAATTTTTATATAATTTCATATTAATAATTAAATAAATATTTTTATTTTTTGTATTCTTCATATTTTACTGAATTTATTATGTTGAATTGTATTTTAATTTTAATCGTATATCATTTTATATAATTAAATCATTGTTTAACAATTAAATAAATGATTTTCTAAAATATTTAAACTATGTATTGATTATTTACAAATTAATTGCAAAAATTTTTAATAAAATTAAAGTATTAAGATATAATATAATCCTGCAATTTAAAATTACTTAACTTTGATATAAAAGCATCATTTATTACAATAAAATATTAATTAACTACAATATATATAACGACTCTTTTTTATTAAATTTTTTCGCATATAATTATTTAAAAGGAAATCATTTAAACATGCTAAGAAATTCTAAGAAAAAATATTAACATATTAATAGTACAAATCTTAATAAAATTTTAAAATAAAAATCATACAAAAAATATATTTTATAATTTCTGATAAGAATATGAAAATTTCCAGGCAACTTTTCTGCATCATACCCGCTTTTCGATGCTTCTGTCGCTTTAATACACTGAATGCGAAGCCTGTTCGCAAGATCTTGAAGATTTTCCACATTTATATCGCGCACCATTATAAGATAACTAGTAGAAAAATCCTTTCTGTAATCGTTTCTCAACGAGCGTTCGATAACAACTGGCAATGAGTAGCACAGCCTTTTGCTCAGTAACTGCGCGCTGGAACTCCCTACTTTCTTCCAGACGAGTTATTGTAGATTTCAAAATCAATGTACATATTTATATTTTATAAATTGAATTTATTTCTTTGAAATTTATGATTCCAAAACTATGTACTTACATTGATATCAAAAAAAAAAAAATATATATATATATATAAAATATATATATATATATATATAAAATATATATATGTAAATATTTATACATTGTGAGAAAGAAAAACACATACACATTAATATTTGATAATAGATATTTTTTATCATCATTACATTTTAAAAATAATAATTAGCTCAAAAAGAATTATATATAAATATATAATGTATGTTATAGTGATAATATAATTAATGAAATTTATTTCAATTTAGATATAGTGAATATCTTTTATACATATTCATAATTTTTTAATGAAGTTCTTTATCATTTTTATTCATATATATTATAGATATTGCAAAACGATAAATAAACAATTTATATTCCAAGATTATATAAAATTATATGTATTAAAAAATCGTTTAAAATATTACATCTAAAAAATCTTAAATGAGATATTTATTAAAATTGTCAATTTTATTTAATATATTCTCGATTATTCAATATTATCATATATTCGTTACGTAACTATATACTATATTTCATAGCGTGCATTTTGGTATCGTGCACGTGCTAGCTATGCGATTACTAGATATAAAAGGAGACATAAGAAAACATGATACGATTTCCTGTCTATCTTTGGGCTTTAACTTTTTAGAACTTTTTTTTCTAAAGTTAATCATTCGAAAATTTTTATCGTAGTATATATTTTTATTAATTATATAAAAATATAGTTTATTATAAAAATTTTAAATTATAATATTATATATATGATAGTATGCATATTTATGAATACATTTAATATTCAATAATTTATCTAAATTAGATGTGTATGAGGATTTTCTCAATATTTTAATTATTAATAACGATAACGATTTAAAATTTTAAAATAAAGAATTAAAATAAAATCTAAGATAAACTAATAATGATTTTTAGTAATTATTTTATAAATAATTTTTTACAATTATGTATATGTATGTCGATTTTGATTAAATGCATAAACATGCATTTAAAAATATAATTATAAAATACCTTGAACTATGAATCGTAATATAATAAGATGGCATTATTTGAAAAGAGTAAACTATATGGAAGCAACTTAATGTTATAATACATAAAAAATTTCCAAAATTAAAATTTTTACAATAAAAATATTAGAGAACAAATTATGCTTGTATTCTACAATATAACAGATTCTAAAGTAAATAATGTTTTTCACCTTATTTTTATCAAGATAATATTTGCGCGCGATTTTGCAAATGTTAAATTTTTATTAAATTGGGATACGAAAATATTAAAAAATTATCAATCGTAATATTAATCTATGTTAATATAATGAAAGTTATTGAATAATAAATTAATGGAATTATTATTATAAAGTATAATGTACATACCCGGATTTGCTAGCTTGTGTGGCATTGATCGAGTGAATTCTCAATTTTGTCGCAATGTCTTTCAATTCTTGAATGGTTTTCGATTCTGGTTTGTGATAGTTTGCCATTTTTTTTGTATAAATTATAACAACTTCTTAAAACTTTAATTGTGCTTTAAGAAAACTCCGGAAAAATGCTGATCACGAAATGTGATTCTGAGCAACAAGTAGAATTCGCGCAAGCTTGATTTATGTTGAATATAGAGAGGAATTCAAATTGTAAATTCATGCAATTTGTGTCAATAATACTTTTTATTGTCCCTAGGTGGCATTATACTTACTTTCATAATATAAAATTTCATAAATTGTATCTCTTATTACAAAGAAAATAAATATTTTTTATGTTATTAGTATATTTAAAAGAATATTATATAATATAATTTTATAATATAATTTTAATCATTAAATATTATTTTTTTCAAAAAAATAATATACAAGCGGGAAATTACGGATATAACAAAATTTTCATAATATAAACTAATATTAATTTAATAACAAATTTATTCGACATGTTTAGGAACAGGATTTGTAGTGTCATTTAATTCTATCAATATCGAAGTATTCACATTGATAATTTGATACATAATTGAGAATAAATTATTTACTTAAAACTATAGAAATATATGAAAATCTTAATATCGAATTATAAAAAAAATCGTAAACGGATAAAACAAATTATAATGTAATGTACATGCTTACAGTATGCATATAATTCGATTCTTAATATAATATTAATTTCAAAAAATTATTTTTGTAACATAAAAGTTATTACATTTTTAAGAAATAGAATGAACAAGAAAAATTGCTATTCGTAGCAAATGCGTTTAAGGATTTAACTTATTTTTACAAAATTTAAAAAATTTTTTTTTATTGAACTAGGAAGTGAATTAACTATTTTTAGTAATTTACGTGTGATACAAATATCTATATACTGTCAGCTGTAAGAATAAATTGTTACAATGAACAATTAAACCTTACATTATATTGTGATGAATTTTAAATTTATATCTAAATATCTAAATAATATTATTAAATTGTTTATATATATATACCACATCTTATGTATATTTATATATATACATGTAGGGATATATCATCCTTTCAACGAAATTCGCACTTTAGTATTTGAAACGATCGCTAATTCCATAAGCGTTCCATAATTCTTATTTAATTATTAGTATATTTTCTTTTTTAATATTTTTTCTGATCAATTTTGTTCTAATTCTATGATCAAGCTTTTTATTATAATAGTTCTTCAATAGATGTTTTTAATTATATCTAAATGTGCAAAATATGCGGATTCATTGATGCATTACAACTATATAAGAGAGAAAAGTCTGATAGTATAACAATTTATGTGATACATTTGAATTATTTTTTTAGTAACCGCCAAAATTGCTGAAATTTTTAAAGTATTAAAATTAAATTTCGTAGTACATTTATATAAACTTAAAATAATAATGTAATGTTTTATACGCATATCTATACATATATATAAATACATTTCTATATATTTTTTATATATTATATGTTTATATATATTTATATATACTTATAAATATGTATAACATGCAATTGATTCCCATATTCCTTTGAACTTTATATATATATGCATGTTGACATGATAATTTACATTACCAATTTATAATTTTATCACATGTAAAATTGTTCTATTTACAATAACTTTTTATCTATATTTGGAATGTTCAAAAAATTTACATGCAATTCATGATGACATAAAAACAATTTTTTTCAATTGAGAATCTTAAATTTGATTAGGATCAAGCTTATGCAATTTCAATTTTATAAATTTTTTTCACTTGAATGCATCAATTCTTTATTCATATAATCATTATACCAAATTGACATTTTAAGTTTCTTACTTGTTATACATCTTTTCGAAATTAATGTTTAAGAATTATATTGTTACTTGTCAAATTTAATTCACGACATTCAAGACTTACATGGACGATAATTTGAAGATTATGTACAACGTGTACAACGTCATTACTTACGAAACTACTATACAATAATTTAATGGATCTATATTTTTGAAATTATAACTTCTCCTTGTATAAATTTGTCCATTTTTGTATTAGTGAAAAAGAATGAAATCGCGCAATTTTATTCCGTTATTTTGCACCTGTTTATCGTATACCAACTACTTTCGTGTTCCCATATATATTGCTGATGTATATATGTTGTTTAATTTAGTTTTTTTTTCTCATAAAATTAAAGAAATAATGTTATCTATTATTATAGTGCTCGCTTTGATAATAATTTAATACATTATATAAGTTAAAAAATTTTTTGTAAAAAAGAAATCGTAATGTTTTTCAAATTTCTGAGCACATTAGAATAATTTTTGTCAATAACATATTTACAAATGTATTACTAATTTTTGATTTGATATGACTTTCTGTATGGTCTAAAATTGTAGATTTTTAACAAAATATTTAGAATATAATGAAAATTCTATTGCGATAATGACAAAAAAATCTAAAATATCAAATATAGAAAACATCTATAACATATATTTTAATTTAAAAAAAAGTAAATTTATTGGAAAAAAAATTTACTTTTTAATTATAATATAAATGAAGTAAAGTCATAATAAATATGCGAGCACACAAAATTTCTAAATGAAAATAAATAATGTCAAATATATGCTTAATACATTGAATTTAATTACTATACGATAAAAAATTACGTATAGAGGATTTTCTCAGGTATGTACTTTGAATTTTTATCTATAATACCATCTGTATCATTGTAATTGATCTTTTGATGAAAACTATATATGTATTTCTTTCTTAAAATATGACGTTATTTCTGCAAAAAATGTTTACATTGGAAAGAATTAAAATTGAAAAGGAAACTATGCTCATAAAAATTTACACAGTAAGAAGTGACTAAATGAACATGATAACAGTATGCAATAGGTGTCAGGTACATTTTGGAATTGATGTTATACTCAGTACTAAAGCTTTAAAGTCAATATAGATATACTAAGAAAGATTGTTTATTATTTATTGTTCATGTGTAGTGTTGATATCACATACAAATACACTTTAAAGCTTCTAAAAGAAAGATTCTGTAACTGAGCGTTTGATTTCTGAGCTTTGTTAAACATTCCAAACATTTCCTAACATCCATATTGCTAATATTTATCTATGGTAACGTAAAAAAAATGCTATATGTACATAACGGGCAATCCATAATACAACAAATTGAATCAAAAGATTGCTCAATACATTTAAAACACACTTTACACTGCTTTTTCCAGCTTTCCTCATGCCATAGAAATTGTAACATTAATTCCTAGATTTCCATTATCGGCAAACAATTGCGCGATAGAGGTGTCAAATACAAGGCAGTCTGAATTTAAAATTGCAGATGAAACACCTTCATGAATAGAACGTGGCATAGCTTCCCATGTTAAACGTCTTTTATGTCCATTCAATTCTAATCTAATGAACATAAATATTTATATTATATTATTAATTATTTTAAATAAAACTTTAAATATAATATATTACTTATAATAAAATACCTATAGGCAAAATTTTCTGCTTGTTTTCTTGAACCAATCAATTGAACAATTGCGAAAAATTGTTGATGTCCATCATATTTTTCTTGTTTTTCAAGTACTAGCATAAAATGATGACCAAAACAAGATTGCATCATTACCCAATCCACCGCACCAGGAAGATTAATATCTGTTGCTAAGAAAACAATGTCTTCTCCTATAATTTAAGCAAATTTAAATAATTGAATTTTCATTTAATTAAAAAAAATACAAATGTATGTCTTATTTAACAAACTTACCCTGAAGAGTTGTAATGCTTTTATGACTCATAACAAGATGTGGCATTACTTGCTCAAGGGATCCTTGCCATTTACAGGAAGCACCTGGACAAGGACAACTATATGGACGGAATTCACATGCATCTTCATGGTCTGCCTTTTCAGTATGCACTAACGATACTGTGCATCCACTTGTTGAATATTTGCAAGGAAACATCACATTACCTGCCACTTTTTCCATAGCCAGATTTCGAATATTACCTACATTAAAAATTTATGAATTATAATTATTTTTATTTGAATATATTTAAATTTTTAACTTATTAACAATTCCTTTTATTTATATAAATTTTATTATTAATTACATACCTAGTGGACCTCTACATGTAGGACAGCAATTAAGTTTTGGTCTGCAATTACTACAAACAAGATGTCCACTTTGACATTGTAAAATGGGTGGAAGAACATAATCAAAGCAAACTGGACATTCAAATAGACTTGCTAGATCAGTTGAACTACTTAGAGATGATACGGTAGGTGCAGAGGAGCTTGCAACACTCCTCCCTCTCTTTCCTGTACTAATACTTAACTGAGACATCTTTTTCTTTTATTCTATGTATCAAATAAGAACACTTTGCCTTTTAGTTGAAGAAAAATCTATTTATTTTTAAGATGTCTATTAAATGCGATACATTTTGGAATGAACCATCCACCTCATATCTGTAAATTATTAAAATTTCAACAATATTATATAGTGTTATATATAAATTTTTTTTAATTTTAATATTTAAAAAATTTTTGAATTTAAAAAATTGAATATTACAACTATACCTTTATATAAAATGAATGTCATTTCAATATGTTGAAAAATATATTTGACACACATATAATTATCTTGCATTATATATATCTAAAGAAAGATTATATGGTGTCATTGTTATCATATTTTATCCATATAGAGTAAATAAATGTAATACTCTTGTACTATACATATATATTATTCTACAAGTATGGTATATTTAATTAATTCAATTAATAAATTATTCATAGTTACATAAGAGTAAAATGAACTTTACAGAATATATTTTTTAGATTTTATGTTTTTGTAAATAAACTTAAATAAAATATTTTACATTTTTTTTTTCAATAAAAAATAAAAAACAATATATAACTATATTCAAATGACATTGAAACGATACAATAAAAATTTTTATCAATTTCCATTATTTTTAATCATTTTATCATTATTTCATTTTTAATCAATCAATTTCTACTTAACCAATACTTTAATGAAATGTATGTATACAAAAATTAGTTAGAATGATATATAGCTTATGATATTGTAATAAAAAT